AAGTATCTATAGACGACTGGCCGGCGTCAGCTACCTAAATTCTACTCGTTTTTCACCGTCTCGACCTAGCCAGCTGATTTTCTGGTCTGTTTAGGGCTAAGTAAAAAGTTAATATTTTCAGGCCATCAATCAAACGACTTTTATTCAGCTTCGGTTCAAATTCGAAGACAACCACATAGCTGGGTCTCGGATCCCCAGACTACATGATTGCAACTAAAAAAACGGCTCGAATTTCCTATTTTTTTTTTACGTTTCAAAGGTAATCAGAAAGTCAAAAGTATCATAGTAACCGAGGTTACAGTCATGAGTCCCTTCATCATGTATTCCAGTCAAAATCCTTGGAATTTTCTAGATATGGAAGTGATAATGATAAAAGAAGATGTCAAGTGTTTAAGTCCTTTTCATTTAAAATCGATACGGGTTACGCTTCTTCAATAAGAACACGCAACTCGACACGAGATAATATAATATACAAGTGTTACAAGTAAAAAATTTCGTCGAAAGTTATTTTGTCATTTATTGTTCCGAGTACGCAAGCGGCGTTCGCAATCTGTATTGCCAGGGAGATTCTCTGTTTTAAAAAGCTGCCTGCTCTGGGATCCTCAGTGCATATGCTTAGGTTCTTACAAAGCTTGCTCAAAAAACTTCTGTGCTGGGGCCGGCCGCGCCCTGAATTTCAAAAGCTAGCGGTTGAAAAAGATATCCATCATTTACAAGATCTTTATTTTGTCAATTTTTCGCTCTTCCGCTTCAGCGGCAGCCGTACCAGGGTTACAAACAGACCCGGCATTAATCCTACAAGGGGCTAAGGAGTCTACTACCGTTACATCCCACAAGAGCTGCTTACCATCAGCCCATGGAACGAGCGTCAAACCGTCTGGTCGCTTCTGATCGGTCCTGTAGAGGTGTCGTGGTTCTAAAACAGACGGAATGTGAGTAGATGATAGACTCTGCTTTATAAGGGCATTCAGGTTTGAATGCCTAGAGAATCTCCCTGCACTTTTGAGGCAAGAAAGACCATGCCAACCATCCTCGGTAACGTCTTTTCCGCACACGCATTTATGCCGTTCGCATATTTTTGATCCTAATCGAAGTCCTATCGCAATTCTGAGTTGTTGGTTCGACAGTTTTAACCTTAAATTTTTGCAGGGGATGACGTTCAACCATTGGGATCCAAATCTATCTTGGAACGCGTTGAACCTTTTCACGTCCGTTGGTTCGAGTCGTAAAATCAAGTCTGCAATTTCGCTGTCAAAAATTGGCTCCGTCCAATTTTTTTGGATTTCATTTTCCGGAGCCATTTCATTTTTTCCAAGGTAAAACCACCGTTTAAGCGCATCATCATAGGTTCCATCCACATGCTCCAAACCAAAGATTTCGCTCAAGGCATCTTTCGCTCCTACTGCTGAGGCTAAGAAAGCGGGTAAAGCGAGTAGACGAGCGGAAGAAACACCCAAGCCACCTTTGGCTGCCGGGAGAACTGCTTGTAAAAACTGGTTATCATCCATTTTCACGTTAGTGACCTTGCATAACGAATTTCTTAGTAATTTATCGTAGCGTTCCAAAAAATCATTTTGCAAAAAACAAGGGCTCGTACGCAAAAAATATAGGAGTTTTGGCATGCTAAAGCAATTTTTCAGGAGGTAAAAACCATAATGGGCGTCTAGTTTGTCAATGACATCCGAGATTTTTTCAAGCTCCCTAATTTTTTCGTCGAGTAATTCTTTTCGGCAAAGTTCGCCGATTGGAGATCCTAAAATGAGGAGTTCTTCTTTTGTTTTTATTTTTATTTTGGGGCATATTTTTCGAAATTGTGTTAAAATTGAATTATACTGTGTACTAGTAGTCGGTCCCAAAAAACAAAGTTCACACTTCTCAGTGTTTAAGCTCAGGCCGTAAATTTGTTCCGATTTCAGAATGTTTTTAAGGTCCCGGAGTACTACCTTATAGTCGTCGGCTAAATTCCCATCATCTAAATACCAGATGTTAATTTTCGACTCCAACTGTTTGACTAGTGTATGAATTGTTTCCGCAAAAAGGGGTGGGGCTTCAGGATCACATTGTTGAGTTCCGTCTTCTGACATTATGACAGAGCTTCCGTAAAAAAGGTAACTAGGTTTAGCATACGCGCAATGGGTGTAATTATATAATTCGGGGCGATTTGAAAAAACATGATTCAGCATTGTTTCTCTGTTTAAAGAGTTAAAGGCATTCTTAAAATCTAGTTTTAAAAGAACAGTACATTTTGGATTGTCGTCGCGTTCAATTAGGTTTCGAAACGAGTGCGCAGCTATTTCTGCTCCTCGTTTGGTACCGCATCCTACCTGTACGTTTCCGAAAAAATTTTGTCGCTCGGAGAGGGCCTTGCTTCCAGCGCATTTAGACGCGATACGTCTCAGCGTATGGCAATCGGTCTCAACCCTCCGTCTATTTTTATGAGGGCGATAAGCTTTGCGCCAAAAAAGAAAGGTCTTAGTGGTTCCGGTATTTTGCCATCTCCAATGAGGTTTATCAGCTTAGTAAGCGATTTCAGAAAATTAAGTCCTGCACTGCCATTCGACTTACTAACAAGATCTTTAAAAATTTGAGGAAATATTTTATCAGGACCTGCTGCTGATCCGTTTGGAAAGGACATTATCGCTTTGTATAGGTCGAAATCGGTTACGAAAAAACTATCCAATTTTTCTGGATTTGGAGCTGCAAATTTGGCTCGCTGCGGGTGCTTAGATAACAATTTTTGATAGTTATCAGTTGAAAAAGGAGCTATTTTGTCATCCGAAGCAGCAAGCCTTATTCCTCCCTTTACATTTCCTTCATCGAGCTTACTACTTATTAACTTTATTCTCTGCTCGAGGTCACTCAGAGGCGGGCTTGAAACTTGGGGATGGGGTTTTGGAAGTGACACGTCATTTGCTCGAATTTTTTTATTTATCAAAGAGCTCATGCTTGTGGTCTGTTTGCGTCCACTTCTTTTCGGTTGCTCCAAAAAAAACAAGAACGACGTTAAAAAAATTAGCCATTTTGTAACATCTTCTACATTGTAGACGATGTCATTTATTTTGTCCGACAGATTTTCCGCCAAGGGAACACGCGAGTCTTTTGGTACTCTCTTGAGTACTCGGACATTTGAGATGGCTGTATTAACATAATTGTCTAGCACTAAATCATTACCTATTGTTGCTTTATTAACAGATTTTACATCAACGCATAAAGGACACTGAAACCATTGGGTTTTCTTAGAGTCGCTAAGAGAAATATTTACACAACTGATATGATACCAACTAGAACAACAATCACATTTAATCCAATTTATCAGTCCTGAAGGTTTTAAGCAATCTTTGCTTGTACACTCTTTGTTGCATCTTGACGCAGCATAAAGGTAAAAAAAGGATTTTGACTGGACTTTAGGGGACTGAACTAACCCATGATAAGCGGTTAGTGGGAATTTTACAAATCAGCAAATAAAAAAAAAAGACAACTAAATTATTTTAAAAGGTTAAAAGGCAGCATAAAGGTTAAAAATCAAAAACAAGGAACAATCTCACCCGAGCTCAGTAGGTTCAGCGGCGCACCACCAGACTTCTCAAGCCAGTTCCAGTTCCCCACCTCCCCACAGAAAGCCACTTGACAGACCTGTCTCTAAAATCCCTCAGAGGGCGCTCCACATACAGGCACAAACATCAAACATAACAAATCTATTTAATAAGTTTATCACAACAATTAGTTGTGTTTTTCTGCTAAATTGTTATTTGAAACTTTTTTGTTTCAGAGCAGATTTTACTATGTTTTACTATCCTATTTTACTATGTTTTTGGTGACAGTTCTATTTTAAGTCTATTGGAGATGGATTGACCCTGTCCTCTTTCTAGCTACTCATATTCTAAAACAACAAAAAATTACCAGTGTTAACTCAAAGGTTTATGACATCAGAGTAGCTAAAAAGTCAGTTTATTACAGTCCTTCACCATATGATGTCTCTGTGGGACCGAGCCTCCAATTCCGTGCTTTTTCTATAATAACGTCGTTTTTACTCCCAGCTCGTGGCACGGGAGGGTACTGCTATTTCCTTCTTCCACACTGAAGCCTCCTTCCACTCCCTGGCCTTCACTTAGTTGTCTTGTCGTGCGCGATTGTCACGATAAGAGGCCTTGTTTTTTCTTCTATAATTCCGACCGTCTGTCTCTCACTGATTTGGTTGTTGTGTTTTTCGTCACTCTCTATTAAAAAATGGCCAATTCCCGTATTTCTCAGAAAAAGACTGTCTGCAATCGAATTTTCGAAATTAAAAATTCCAGAATATTCTAGCCTCCTTTTCAACAATTCATGATCACTAAGGCCTCTAATTTCTTTTTCGTGCTACGACGGAAGGTTCGGCTGTGTCAATCTGGGGGAATGGCACAAAGGCCAAATTTGTTTTTGGGTGTATGGAATCTTCGAAAGCATTCCATAGGAAAAACCGTCCTGTTAAGTAGAATGATTCCTTCGCTATTGATTTTGGTTATGTAGGCTTGAGGGGAGCAATAGCTGTAAGTGTATGTACTTTGCGATCATCTTTTGTCGCAGTTGCTCTTTTTGATAATGTCATTTTCTGTATTTGGTCGTTGTGATTTGTATGAGTAAATCAGAAGTACAAACTGGATATGCCAGCGTCAGATTTTTGGCAGATTTTACAATTTTTTTTGTGTAGGGGTGAATTTGATTATTTGGATCTGTTTTGTTTTTTGTTCGGTATGTTTTTTAGTGCATATCGGATTTCTGTCTCCGTTTCTTGAAACAAAAATTAGTTTTTTTGTTCAAATTGCAGAAATCAGATGGCAGAAACGTCAACCATATTTTTATTGCCAGCGCTAAATTGTTATTTGAAATTTTTTTGTTTCAGAGCAGATTTTTTCTTGAAATCCGGTTTAATTTTTTTTCTTAATTTTCGTTTTCGTTGAACAACCAGCCGCATGTTTGTATCTTTAAAATTGAACCAATTAAGGCGTTCCTCGTGTCTGCTTTTCGCGTGTAGTGTAATTACAATTTTTGCTTTTTTCAGTTTTGTGGTAAAAGATAAATCTTTTCATTTTTTTCATGTATTGGATTTCTTTTCGCTATGAATATGAAGAACTTGATCGTTATTAGCGGAGCTGGGGCTGTACCACAAACTTTGGACAAAACTTACTTGAAATTGGTCACTCCTAAGATACAGAAAGCCGCAAATGAAATGGCAAATTTTCATGATTACATTAAAGATGAATCGGACGAAGAAAGTTTTAAGCCTGTTCGGAAAAAAGTTCGTTTGGATAATTTATCGGAGCACGAGAAAAATATGCGACGAAAAATGAAAAACAGAGAGTCTGCACAAGCCGCTAGAGATAAGAGAAAAAATCATTTGGAAAATCTAGAGAAACGAGTGCTTGAATTGGAAGAAGAGAAGGTGACACTGCAACAGGCCAAAAAATTTGTCGAACAGAAATGTAATTTACTGGAAGAAGATAATACGCGTTTGAGAAACAGACTTATGGAAGCTGAAAGTGGTGTTGTTTTTCAAACTCACAATCGACAAATATCGGCAAGTAGCGAACACTGGGAATCTGTGTGCCGTGACCTGATGATCGAGAAAGAAGCACTAGAGTCGCGCGTAGCCGAACTCGAAGAAAAGTTGTGCGCGAAGCCGGATGCAGACAAAGTCGAGCAGATGGATTGTCTCGTGCCAATCAAAAACGAAATCATGGTTTCAACCAGCGAAGAAAATTCCGAGTCCGCAGCACTCTTGGCATCTCTGCAGCAGAGCCGTTTTCTTCCCGCGTTGATGACCATGGTTTCAATGTTGCTTGTGTCGACGAAATATCCAGTTGCATCAGAAGGATGTACGACTCTGCTGGAGCAGTCTTTGAAGAAAACATACAAAGAGAGGAAGATAAACCGGGCGATTCAGCTGTCTATCATTCGACAAAAGCTGAAAAAGCAGCACGTTGCACAAACGAGAATGATTGCTCTGAAAGAATTGAAACCACCATAAACCGGAAACTAGTGGAAAATTGTAATGTAAACTCCGTAAATAAGGAGAGCAAAAGTCCGAATAATTACCAATCGCAATTTTCGTTGCCATCAGCTCACGAGTTATTCAATGACAATTTTGCTGGCTTTGAAATTCCCAAAGACTTAGAACTGGAAGATTTTGATCTATCTATTTTCGATGATTTCTTCGTTTAACTTTATTTTAGCCTCATTTAATTAGTGCAATCCAGAATTAATTTTAGCTCCATCATGTTTTCAAATCATAAGTGATAGTACGGAGCTGAATTTTGTGTAGCATGATAAGATCAAAATAACAAGATTCTCTCTAAGTTCCAATAAACAAATATACTGTGAGACATTGAAAACGCAACAGCAAAGTTTCTAGTAAAAAATCATATATTTTTTGACAGTTTGCAAAATCCTTTGGCTTGCTCTGATATTTATCAGCAGAAATTGGGGGTCTTTCCCATTATAGCCTCCCCCCCCCAGTAAACTATAGCCCCCACCAACCTTTCCCATTATAGCCCCCCACCGAACATTCCAATAATATACACACTATCCGTACTGATTAAAAAAGGGTAAATTATAAAGGGCTTCTTTATAATTTACCCTTTTTTTATCCGTACTGGTTTATACTACTTAATATACTAAAATTTATTTTGATGGAAATATTTCAATTATGATATTAAGTTGATTTATATCGATGACTTATTTTTCATGAACTGAATAATGATTGAGTATCAATTCAAGCTGCCTCACCTAGACCTCACCTTGACCTCACCTAGATGATTTTATATCATCCGTCAGTTGATTTTTTATGGCTTCGATCAATTTAGTCAAAATAGTAGACATCACAAAACATAAATGGGAAATAATTGGACTATTCCAAGAATATGATATTGTTGATTCCGATTCCAAGAGTATGTATGATCTGCCTATTAGTATAATTTGAAACCTCTATGGGGGCTGTAACAGGAAAGATTGGGGGTCTATAAAGGGAAAGGTTGGGGGGGGGAGGCTATAATTTTTTTGATACTAGGCCTGGAGGGTATAATGAGAAAGACCCGAAATTGGCGACTGGAAGATTTAGGCGAAAATGTCGTTAGCAACAGCTTATGTTTCACTTGATTCATGAAATAGAAAGTTTAAGCGTTTTTTTCGGTTTTTTATTTCAAGGAAAATAAATGTTTGAAGTTCGCTTATTCTAATATGCTTTTTAAAGGGATAAATAATTCATAAGCTATTTTTGAAAGAAAAAATTAGAATTTCATTTGACGATAAGAGGTTAATTTTATTGGCTCTTCAATAAATTTGTTCTGAAGATCAAAAGATTTCAGAACAGTCTTGATGACACCTTGAGAAAACTTTAACGAAACAAACATTTTTTTTATGAAATCCGATTTACAATTGCCATGGTTTTAAGATGGATTTAAGTACAAATCCTACGAACTTTTTTTCGATATGCTTGATCTTGCATGAAGAAAATAAGTATTGAGAAATGTTTGAAAATTTTTTTTTTTTAAATCCGATTTCTAACTCATTGATCTGATGCTGCTCTTTGAGTGATCTGATTTTGCAAGCTTTCCAGAAATACTCAAAATACAACTATAGAAGGTGTTTTGAATTTTAGATGCTGCAAAACCTTCGGGCTATAAAAATTGTGCGCTAATTAAAATAGTGGGCTATAAAACCGTATTGTCGGTTAACAACTGGATGGCAAATAGTAACAACAATGGGTTGTTTCTAAGCATGTCGGGCAGCATTTTTTGACCACACTGATTTCGAAAAGTCAATAACCAAAAAAAATTAGAATGGAGCAAAAAAAGTGATATTTTCCCCAATTTGTAGCTATTTTTATGTTCAATATTCCGATTTACAAATCGATTGAATCAGGAAAAATCTTCCACTGAGTAGTACTAATACCTAAAAATAAAATTGTAGAAAGAACTTTTTTTCAACTTGTCTTATTGAGTCTGAACATATTGAGACAGGCTTTCTGGATACTGAGTCATTTTTTTATGAATCCGAATCATGACTGGAAGGTCTAAATATGATATCTCGATGTATCCCTACGAGTTTTATTTGAGATTAACAAAGTCGGTTGAAAAAAAAAAACATAACCCAAGCCGTTCGATATTATAATAGTAACAAGAGAAGTCTAACTGCGCACCTGCAAAAAGATTTGCATAAAAATATGTCAGAAAACGAAACGAAAAAAAAACAAGTGTTAGCTTTCAGCTTATTCCCTCATCGATATTTTGCTCTAGCACAAAAAATTTGAAGCACTCAGATTTTACGTAACGAAGGTCAAGTATCGACGAAAATCAAAAGGCGTGAGGGTTTATCGTTAAGACCATTTGAAAAATGGGGAGGTATTCGGTTGTTTTAGTTTTTTTTTCTTTTTCATCGCCAAACCAGCTTTCACAAATAATCATCGGAATAGGGCGATTGATATGTCATTTTGAAGCCCTCTCAGTCGTGATTCGAACGACAATAGAAACTTTCTCAGTGTCGAGGAAAACCGTTTTTTTTTGCATTTTGGTCTAGTTTCGAGCTAACAAGGTGAGTAGCTTACAATAGCTTATTTATGCTCGGTTTATGACATGAAAACTTTGCTATACTCGAGTAAAAATTAGTTTAAGAGTTGATACGCGTCATTTTGGGAATAAAAAATCAAAAATTTTCTACAAAAAAATTGTTGAAAATAAAAAAAGTTTTTAAGATCTTTTGTACGTTTTTTCAGTCATTTTTGCAGAAAAACGACACAAATTTGAAAAATCGAAACTTTTGGGTTTTCTTTGAGACTGGTCGCAAAATTCTGTGCTACTTGCATAAAAATCGGCTAGCCTTGTTTTTAATTGATTTTGACTGGAAAAGCTAACATCTATCTTAAGCAAGTTAAACTGATAGTTTGAGCAATATTTGCTGGTTGTATACGCCTGATTGTACCCCACACGTAATCAAAACGAAGTATTTATTTTCAAATTGTATTTTTGATATTGAAAATTACAAGCTATCAGCAGTATTACTAATAAAACTGCTTTTTTTGAGCTTCAAAATTTTGAGGTTATGTTTATAATGATACCCAGTGTATATTACGGCTCAGTGAGATAAGAAAAAGTTAAGACAGCGTGAAAAGTTCGCGACGGCGTTTCTTAAATTTGTGAAAATGGCAATGGGCTCGTAAAATTTTGTGGAAAAACACATTTAATAGAGCATCAAAAATTATATTTTAAAACATAATAAAGAAACCATTATTGGGCGACATAAAATTCAAACAGGTAAGTGAGAAAACAATATTGGGTTGCTAATACAATTTTAAACTGAACAAGGATCGCGGATTGCTGTGGAAGTGGCACAGAATGCGTGGACACAATAAACATTAAAAATACTCGGAGAGGGCCTTGCTTCCAGCGCATTTAGACGCGATACGTCTCAGCGTGTTGCCTATGGCAATCGGTCTCAACCCTCCGTCTATTTTTATGAGGGCGATAAGCTTTGCGCCAAAAAAGAAAGGTCTTAGTGGTTCCGGTATTTTGCCATCTCCAATGAGGTTTATCAGCTTAGTAAGCGATTTCAGAAAATTAAGTCCTGCACTGCCATTCGACTTACTAACAAGATCTTTAAAAATTTGAGTAAATATTTTATCAGGACCTGCTGCTGATCCGTTTGGAAAGGACATTATCGCTTTGTATAGGTCGAAATCGGTTACGAAAAAACTATCCAACTTTTCTGGATTTGGAGCTGCAAATTTGGCTCGCTGCGGGTGCTTAGATAACAATTTTTGATAGTTATCAGTTGAAAAAGGAGCTATTTTGTCATCCGAAGCAGCAAGCCTTATTCCTCCCTTTACATTTCCTTCATCGAGCTTACTACTTATTAACTTTATTCTCTGCTCGAGGTCACTCAGAGGCGGGCTTGAAACTTGGGGATGGGGTTTTGGAAGTGACACGTCATTTGCTCGAATTTTTTTATTTATCAAAGAGCTCATGCTTGTGGTCTGTTTGCGTCCACTTCTTTTCGGTTGCTCCAAAAAAAACAAGAACGACGTTAAAAAAATTAGCCATTTTGTAACATCTTCTACATTGTAGACGATGTCATTTATTTTGTCCGACAGATTTTCCGCCAAGGGAACACGCGAGTCTTTTGGTACTCTCTTGAGTACTCGGACATTTGAGATGGCTGTATTAACATAATTGTCTAGCACTAAATCATTACCTATTGTTGCTTTATTAACAGATTTTACATCAACGCATAAAGGACACTGAAACCATTGGGTTTTCTTAGAGTCGCTAAGAGAAATATTTACACAACTGATATGATACCAACTAGAACAACAATCACATTTAATCCAATTTATCAGTCCTGAAGGTTTTAAGCAATCTTTGCTTGTACACTCTTTGTTGCATCTTGACGCAGCATAAAGGTAAAAAAAGGATTTTGACTGGACTTTAGGGGACTGAACTAACCCATGATAAGCGGTTAGTGGGAATTTTACAAATCAGCAAATAAAAAAAAAAGACAACTAAATTAATTTAAAAGGTTAAAAGGCAGCATAAAGGTTAAAAATCAAAAACAAGGAACAATCTCACCCGAGCTCAGTAGGTTCAGCGGCGCACCACCAGACTTCTCAAGCCAGTTCCAGTTCCCCACCTCCCCACAGAAAGCCACTTGACAGACCTGTCTCTAAAATCCCTCAGAGGGCGCTCCACATACAGGCACAAACATCAAACATAACAAATCTATTTAATAAGTTTATCACAACAATTAGTTGTGTTTTTCTGCTAAATTGTTATTTGAAATTTTTTTGTTTCAGAGCAGATTTTACTATGTTTTACTATCCTATTTTACTATGTTTTTGGTGACAGTTCTATTTTAAGTCTATTGGAGATTGATTGACCCTTTCCTCTTTCTAGCTACTCATATTCTAAAACAACAAAAAATTACCAGTGTTAACTCAAAGGTTTATGACATCAGAGTAGCTAAAAAGTCAGTTTATTACAGTCCTTCACCATATGATGTCTCTGTGGGACCGAGCCTCCAATTCCGTGCTTTTTCTGTAATAACGTCGTTTTTACTCCCAGCTCGTGGCACGGGAGGGTACTGCTATTTCCTTCTTCCACACTGAAGCCTCCTTCCAGTCCCTGGCCTTCACTTAGTTGTCTTGTCGTGCGCCATTGTCACGATAAGAGGCCTTGTTTTTTCTTCTATAATTCCGACCGTCTGTCTCTCACTGATTTGGTTGTTGTGTTTTTCGTCACTCTCTATTAAAAAATGGCCAATTCCCGTATTTCTCAGAAAAAGACTGTCTGTAATCGAATTTTCGAAATTAAAAATTCCAGAATATTCTAGCCTCCTTTTCAACAATTCATGATCACTAAGGCCTCTAATTTCTTTTTCGTGCTACGACGGAAGGCTCGGCTGTGTCAATCTGGGGGAATGGCACAAAGGCCAAATTTGTTTTTGGGTGTATGGAATCTTCGAAAGCATTCCATAGGAAAAACCGTCCTGTTAAGTAGAATGATTCCTTCGCTATTGATTTTGGTTATGTAGGCTTGAGGGGAGCAATAGCTGTAAGTGTATGTACTTTGCGATCATCTTTTGTCGCAGTTGCTCTTTTTGATAATGTCATTTTCTGTATTTGGTCGTTGTGATTTGTATGAGTAAATCAGAAGTACAAACTGGATATGCCAGCGTCAGATTTTTGGCAGATTTTACAATTTTTTTTGTGTAGGGGTGAATTTGATTATTTGGATCTGTTTTGTTTTTTGGTCGGTATGTTTTTTAGTGCATATCGGATTTCTGTCTCCGTTTCTTGAAACAAAAATTAGTTTTTTTGTTCAAATTGCAGAAATCAGATGGCAGAAACGTCAACCATATTTTTATGGAAGAAGAAAGAGTAAATTAAACATCCCATAAATGGACAAATGTGTAATAAAATAATAACCGCGTGTATATTGTATAAATAAAAAGCACGTGCAAAAAAGGTGGAGAAATTGATAAGTTGTTTTACGCTTGTCGTGTCGCCTTCAATAACTTCTCCACAGTGTTAGAGCATTCTGTGAAGCCATGACATGTGTCTAAATGTCTGAAATCAATATTATTGTTACAATATCTGCAAATACAGTCCAGTTGGGACTCAAAACACCTTTCGACTAAGCAAATAAGATGATGGGCCTCATTTGCATAATATTGAGCAATAATTCTTCTTTTTAAGGGGCTCGCGCGATCTATTCTTAGGAAGTCGTCTCCAAGAATATGATGCAAGAGGGAGGTGTTCCTGGTGTAAACGCTAAGTCCATACCATTTTTTCCAGAAGATTCCTTGGATTTGTTTGACATGGGAGTCTATTTGAGCGGAAAACACGCCATGATCGATTGTTTGGATTCCATACATCGCCGCCGGATACACTATTGATTCGAATAGTCTTTTGGCCGACGTAAAATTAATTTTTGAGAACGGTAATTTCTGTTGGAGCGCAAACGTTGACCTTATAGCTGATCTGACCAAGTGTTTTAGGTGGGTTGTGATGGTAAGGGACGGTGATAAGTTGTAGCCAAGATAGCAAAATGAGTTTGTAAACCCGATTTCTTCGTATCCGTAGAAAACTTTGTCTGACTTTTTCAGAGGTCCACCTTTTCTGAATTTCATCATATTGGTTTTCTGGACATTGACAGTGAGCTTGTTAATTCTGCAGTACTCGTGGAGGTCATTCAGCGATCTTTTAACATCTAGAAGGAAAGGACTGGCTATGATTAGATCATCTGCATATAAAATGATCAAGCATTGATTGGAATCGATAAAATCCGGGAGATCAGCTATAAATAACGAAAAAAGCAAAGGTGAGAGCTTATCGCCTTGGGTCACGCCAATTAATTGGGGAATTTTGTTTGAAAGATTACAGCCGTCGGCAACCTGTTGAAAATTCTTTGAGCATATTTCACCTAGCGCGTGGATAATTTCACCATGCAGGCCAAGTCGGATGAGCTTTTGAATCAGGGTATTGCGGTCAACCGTATCAAACGCTTTCATGAAATCCACAAAACAGACATAGTATTGTGCATATGTGTCTATACCACTTTGAACATTGCATTTGAGCTCGTTTATTGCGTGAATCGTGGATAGCCCTTTTCGGAAACCATATTGGTTTCGCGGGAGTATGGAATTTCCTTCAGCCCATTGATAGATTCTGTCATGAATAATTCCGGAGTAGATTTTATAGCAGCATGATAATAAACTGATGCCTCTGTAGTTTGAAGGGGAGTCTTTTGGACCTTTTCCCTTGTAAAGAGGCACAATGTACGACGTCTTCCACACGTCTGGCAAAGTTGAATATCTGAAACACGTCTGAAATAGGGTTGTCAAAAATAAATAGCTGACTCCAAAAGAAGATTTAAGCAGCTCATTTGAAATACCGTCAGGCCCTGTAGCTTTTCTGCCTGCTGTTATCGACAAGACCCTCACAATCTCGGCCGTACTAATAGCTCGGTTGATAAAATCACAGTTTGGGGGATCGTCATCGGCGTAATTGTGCTGACTAAGGTTCACATAGTCGTTGATCTCTATGGAGCTGGAGACTTGAACATTGTATAACTCGTCAAAATGGGATTCCCAATCAGACATTGAGACTGAGCTCTGACTTTTTTTCGACGAACTAGCTTTGAGAATACCCCAGAATTTCGATTTGTCCGACTGAGCAAGCTCGATGATTTCGAATTCTCTGTTTTGAATATGAGTCGCCTTTTTTTGTCTACAGAGTCGCTTGAATATTCTTTTTGACGAATTGTACTCCAGTAGGTTAGTTTGCTTGTTTTTGTATGAAAATTTTAACTGATTATGCAAATTGTAAAGGGTTTTGTCAAACCACGGAGGTGATTTTCTGGGCTTTCTCAATATGGCGGCGGATTTGCAGGCTTCAACAAAGCTCTCGTAATATCTGTTTACGTCACCGACATAATCTATTTGTGCGATTTTTTCTTCGAGTTGAGTCAGGTCAACCGACCGTATTGAGCCGGCTCTTGAGGAATATTTCGAATTCTTAATCGATATTTCGGATGTAACCAGGTTGTGCTTGGTGAAATGGCAAGGTAATACAGATAGTGGTCCGACTATTGCGGAAGAGTTGTGGAAAATAAAATCAACCATATTTTTATTGCCAGCGCTAAATTGTTATTTGAAATTTTTTTGTTTCAGAGCAGATTTTTTCTTGAAATCTGGTTTAATTTTTTTTCTTAATTTTCGTTTTCGTTGAACAACCAGCCGCATGTTTGTATCTTTAAAATTGAACCAATTAAGGCGTTCCGCGTGTCTGCTTTTCGCGTGTAGTGTAATTACAATTTTTGCTTTTTTCAGTTTTGTGGTAAAAGATAAATCTTTTCATTTTTTTCATGTATTGGATTTCTTTTCGCTATGAATATGAAGAACTTGATCGTTATTAGCGGAGCTGGGGCTGTACCACAAACTTTGGACAAAACTTACTTGAAATTGGTCACTCCTAAGATACAGAAAGCCGCAAATGAAATGGCAAATTTTCATGATTACATTAAAGATGAATCGGACGAAGAAAGTTTTAAGCCTGTTCGGAAAAAAGTTCGTTTGGATAATTTATCGGAGCACGAGAAAAATATGCGACGAAAAATGAAAAACAGAGAGTCTGCACAAGCCGCTAGAGATAAGAGAAAAAATCATTTGGAAAATCTAGAGAAACGAGTGCTTGAATTGGAAGAAGAGAAGGTGACACTGCAACAGGCCAAAAAATTTGTCGAACAGAAATGTAATTTACTGGAAGAAGATAATACGCGTTTGAGAAACAGACTTATGGAAGCTGAAAGTGGTGTTGTTTTTCAAACTCACAATCGACAAATATCGGCAAGTAGCGAACACTGGGAATCTGTGTGCCGTGACCTGATGATCGAGAAAGAAGCACTAGAGTCGCGCGTAGCCGAACTCGAAGAAAAGTTGTGCGCGAAGCCGGATGCAGACAAAGTCGAGCAGATGGGTTGTCTCGTGCCAATCAAAAACGAAATCATGGTTTCAACCAGCGAAGAAAATTCCGAGTCCGCAGCACTCTTGGCATCTCTGCAGCAGAGCCGTTTTCTTCCCGCGTTGATGACCATGGTTTCAATGTTGCTTGTGTCGACGAAATATCCAGTTGCATCAGAAGGATGTACGACTCTGCTGGAGCAGTCTTTGAAGAAAACATACAAAGAGAGGAAGATAAACCGGGCGATTCAGCTGTCTATCATTCGACAAAAGCTGAAAAAGCAGCACGTTGCACAAACGAGAATGATTGCTCTGAAAGAATTGAAACCACCATAAACCGGAAACTAGTGGAAAATTGTAATGTAAACTCCGTAAATAAGGAGAGCAAAATTCCGAATAATTACCAATCGCAATTTTCGTTGCCATCAGCTCACGAGTTATTCAATGACGATTTTGCTGGCTTTGAAATTCCCAAAGACTTAGAACTGGAAGATTTTGATCTATCTATTTTCGATGATTTCTTCGTTTAACTTTATTTTAGCCTCATTTAATTAGTGCAATCCAGAATTAATTTTAGCTCCATCATGTTTTCAAATCATAAGTGATAGTACGGAGCTGAATTTTGTGTAGCATGATAAGATCAAAATAACAAGATTCTCTCTAAGTTCCAATAAACAAATATACTGTGAGACATTGAAAACGCAACAGCAAAGTTTCTAGTAAAAAATCATATATTTTTTGACAGTTTGCAAAATCCTTTGGCTTGCTCTGAAATTTATCAGCAGAAATTGGGGGTCTTTCCCATTATAGCCTCCCCCCCCCCCAGTAAACTATAGCCCCCACCAACCTTTCCCATTATAGCCCCCCACCGAACATTCCAATAATATACACACTATCCGTACTGATTAAAAAAGGGTAAATTATAAAGGGCTTCTTTATAATTTACCCTTTTTTTATCCGTACTGGTTTATACTACTTAATATACTAAAATTTATTTTGATGGAAATATTTCAATTATGATATTAAGTTGATTTATATCGATGACTTATTTTTCATGAACTGAATAATGATTGAGTATCAATTCAAGCTGCCTCACCTAGACCTCACCTTGACCTCACCTAGATGATTTTATATCATCCGTCAGTTGATTTTTTATGGCTTCGATCAATTTAGTCAAAATAGTAGACATCACAAAACATAAATGGGAAATAATTGGACTATTCCAAGAATATGATATTGTTGATTCCGATTCCAAGAGTATGTATGATCTGCCTATTAGTATAATTTGAAACCTCTATGGGGGCTGTAACAGGAAAGATTGGGGGTCTATAAAGGGAAAGGTTGGGGGGGGGGAGGCTATAATTTTTTTGATACTAGGCCTGGAGGGTATAATGAGAAAGACCCGAAATTGGCGACTGGAAGATTTAGGCGAAAATATCGTTAGCAACAGCTTATGTTTCACTTGATTCATGAAATAGAAAGTTTAAGCGTTTTTTTCGGTTTTTTATTTCAAGGAAAATAAATGTTTGAAGTTCGCTTATTCTAATATGCTTTTTAAAGGGATAAATAATTCATAAGCTATTTTTGAAAGAAAAAATTAGAATTTCATTTGACGATAAGAGGTTAATTTTATTGGCTCTTCAATAAATTTGTTCTGAAGATCAAAAGATTTCAGAACAGTCTTGATGACACCTTGAGAAAACTTCAACGAAACAAACATTTTTTTTATGAAATCCGATTTACAATTGCCATGGTTTTAAGATGGATTTAAGTACAAATCCTACGAACTTTTTTTCGATATGCTTGATCTTGCATGAAGAAAATAAGTATTGAGAAATGTTTGAAAAATTTTTTTTTTTAAATCCGATTTCTAACTCATTGATCTGATGCTGCTCTTTGAGTGATCTGATTTTGCAAGCTTTCCAGAAATACTCAAAATACAACTATAGAAGGTGTTTTGAATTTTAGATGCTGCAAAACCTTCGGGCTATAAAAATTGTGCGCTAATTAAAATAGTGGGCTATAAAACCGTATTGTCGGTTAACAACTGGATGGCAAATAGTAACAACAATGGGTTGTTTCTAAGCATGTCGGGCAGCATTTTTTGACCACACTGATTTCGAAAAGTCAATAACCAAAAAAAATTAGAATGGAGCAAAAAAAGTGATATTTTCCCCAATTTGTAGCTATTTTTATGTTCAATATTCCGATTTACAAATCGATTGAATCAGGAAAAATCTTCCACTGAGTAGTACTAATACCTAAAAATAAAATTGTAGAAAGAACTTTTTTTCAACTTGTCTTATTGAGTCTGAACATATTGAGACAGGCTTTCTGGATACTGAGTCATTTTTTTATGAATCCGAATCATGACTGGAAGGTCTAAATATGATATCTCGATGTATCCCTACGAGTTTTATTTGAGATTAACAAAGTCGGTTGAAAAAAAAACATAACCCAAGCCGTTCGATATTATAATAGTAACAAGAGAAGTCTAACTGCGCACCTGCAAAAAGATTTGCATAAAAATATGTCAGAAAACGAAACGAAAAAAAAACAAGTGTTAGCTTTCAGCTTATTCCCTCATCGATATTTTGCTCTAGCACAAAAAATTTGAAGCACTCAGATTTTACGTAACGAAGGTCAAGTATCGACGAAAATCAAAAGGCGTGAGGGTTTATCGTTAAGACCATTTGAAAAATGGGGAGGTATTCGGTTGTTTTAGTTTTTTTTTTCTTTTTCATCGCCAAACCAGCTTTCACAAATAATCATCGGAATAGGGCGATTGATATGTCATTTTGAAGCCCTCTCAGTCGTGATTCGAACGACAATAGAAACTTTCTCAGTGTCGAGGAAAACCGTTTTTTTTTTGCATTTTGGTCTAGTTTCGAGCTAACAAGGTGAGTAGCTTACAATAGCTTATTTATGCTCGGTTTATGACATGAAAACTTTGCTATACTCGAGTAAAAATTAGTTTAAGAGTTGATACGCGTCATTTTGGGAATAAAAAATCAAAAATTTTCTACAAAAAAATTGTTGAAAATAAAAAAAGTTTTTAAGATCTTTTGTACGTTTTTTCAGTCATTTTTGCAGAAAAACGACACAAATTTGAAAAATCGAAACTTTTGGGTTTTCTTTGAGACTGGTCGCAAAATTCTGTGCTACTTGCATAAAAATCGGCTAGCCTTGTTTTTAATTGATTTTGACTGGAAAAGCTAACATCTATCTTAAGCAAGTTAAACTGATAGTTTGAGCAATATTTGCTGGTTGTATACGCCTGATTGTACCCCACACGTAATCAAAACGAAGTATTTATTTTCAAATTGTATTTTTGATATTGAAAATTACAAGCTATCAGCAGTATTACTAATAAAACTGCTTTTTTTGAGCTTCAAAATTTTGAGGTTATGTTTATAATGATACCCAGTGTATATTACGGCTCAGTGAGATAAGAAAAAGTTAAGACAGCGTGAAAAGTTCGCGACGGCGTTTCTTAAATTTGTGAAAATGGCAATGGGCTCGTAAAATTTTGTGGAAAAACACATTTAATAGAGCATCAAAAATTATATTTTAAAACATAATAAAGAAACCATTATTGGGCGACATAAAATTCAAACAGGTAAGTGAGAAAACAATATTGG